CCCCCCCCCACCACCCCAAAAAAAAAAATTTGATCTGTAAAAACAAAACTCAATACCTGCAACCACTATGTCTTTAACTTTCAAAATAAAGCTGTATCAATTCATACTACTATCACATATACTCCGTTGCAGCTAAACCAGCACCCGTTAATGAAATTCTGGATCCGACTCCGAGCAATATCTAATTTAAGGAGAAATTCGAATAATAAAAACGTAAAATTACCTGATAAACAAATGGTTGAAACGGCGTCGAGAAGAACGGGGCAGCCATTGATATATAGAATAATACAGATTTCGAAAAGCACGAATTACTTAGAAAAATTCAAGCTTGGGGGTTTTCAGATCGCCGGAAGATCAATTTTCCAATTCTTTTTTTCTTTTTTGGTATTATTTACCAGGGTTTTTTTTGGTTTTGATCAAACTAGGATATGTATATTAATGAGGTTACATATTAAAACATTTAATTCCATAATTACTCTTGATTTTCATTTGATTTAGTATACATCTTACTGGCTCGCTGCATAAACAGTAGTGGTAGTTTAGTCAATTTAGGACTATAAAGTTTGATATATGAATTATTTTTGTAGTTGTATTAATTATGTTATGTTTGCTGTTCGGTTAGTTGTAAGGATTGCACGTCATAGCCCGATGACATGGCAATGTTTTATTGGTTCACGTATCCACGTTGACTGGTCTCTCTTGTCCACCCTGTCAATAGTTGACTGCTGCTGACTGGCTAATCGAAACTAGAAAGCACTAGATGGAGTTTTACACCCAAAGTTTTGTGCTATACCCCCTCCTCTCTCGTATCATCGTATCAGTCTCATGATTCTCTCGTGCACGTCTCTTAAAAATATTTAATTAGGATAAAATTTTAACTACTTTAACCTTGTAATAATAAATTTTCGCATCGAGAAAAATAAATAATCAAGATTGAAAATTACGTAACAAATGTAGTACTCTCTCTGTTTCAATTTCGATGAGGTAGTTTGACTCGGCATAGAGTTTAAGGAAAAAAAAAAGACTTTTAAAATTTGTGGTTTTAAAAGTTTAAGGGGTAAAAACTTTATGAGGTGACATTTGTGTGGTTATAAAAGTTTTTAATTAAGGGTAAAATGGATAAAATGAAGAGTTTAAAATTGAATTATTTCCAAATTTAGTAATGTGCCATTTATTTTGGAACAGACTAAAAAAGAAAGTACCTCATCTAATTTGAAACGTAGGGAGTATTTGATTTCAATAAATGAAAGTGTTACAATCAATATGGTATTCCTCTCATTCTTCAAGAATATAAACTATCTTGATGAACTTGATTTTGATTCAAGGGCTTGTAAAGCTTGGTCTTGAATCTGCTTCTTGAACTTGGATTTGGATTTGATTACGAACAAGTAATTTAATCTTAAACGCCTTGGTATTTGATTTGTCTTCGTTATTGATCTTGAACTTGAACTTGTAGCTTAATTAAGTGCTTGAGTTTGTAGCTTGTAAAAAAATTTGCGATGTTTGATCCACGAGCTCTCTGCTTGCTTCTTGTTATCACTTCCTGTATCTTCTAGCTTCATGAAGACTTCTATTTATAGTTGTAGGGAGCGGTGTGGCTCTGCGATTTGATTGGTCTGTTTGAACTGGCCAATATCATCTAGACAATTGGCACAACTCTATTGGTTGTTGATTTGACTTGGTATGCCACACTTTTTTGACACATGGCATGATTTTATTGGCTTATTTATTTGGCTTGGATTGCCACGTCACTTGACACGTATCATGCTTTTATTAGTTCATTCTTTTGACTTGGATTGCCACATCACTTGACACGTGGCATGAGCTTGAGGTTTAAGATGGGCTAATAGTCATTTGGATCTTGGGCTAATGAAGTGAGCTTATCATTTAATTTATAGTCCAATTAAATAGATCAGCCCAACACATATATATTGGATTTAAATAACTAGCCCAATTTACTAGCCACAATATTTGTTTGGATTAAATTTAATATAGTCCAAACTAGTTTATGAATTAAATTCGATAAAATTTAAATGCTTACAATGCCCTCTACTTCAAGGCCGTCAGAGTTTACACTTGTGAAAGCTCTAAAGGTTAGGCTTGAAGTATAAGTGATGCCCATAATTTTTTTTATTAAAAATAAAATAAAATACTAATCTAAATTCTAAAGGGAATTTGTCAATTTTGCTGCTAAGTCCACCTATTGATGTTTCCCTTGTCATTTGCTAGTAGCTTGTCAGTTCATACTTTAGCGTTAAAATAATAATGCTTATTGTTTGAATTCACATATTGGAGTCAATAAGCAAATATGTCATTATTTTATCCCCATGTAAAGTCACTGCACGCTTTACATTTACAAGGATTTTACAGTCTGCGAATTGTTTATGGTTCGTTGAGTACGTGGCTTAATAAAGAGAATTGATATTTGCTGCGTTTTTCTTAAGGGGTGTGAATAGAAAATAGAAGAGCTTGCTTCATTTTTTGTATATAGAAAATCTGAAAATTTCTCCCATCTTTTCTGTATTGTTGCATTATTTTCCAAATAAAATTTAGTATCAAGTGTGATTTGCTCCGTTCGTTGAGTTCACTGAAGTTCTGTGATTTGTAGTGCGGCTATCACACGATAATTATTCTGTTCTATCCTGGAAGGAATTAATCCATAACCTTGGGCAATAGTAAGGGGATTAAATTCCTTAAGGACACACTGTGAATTCAGTGGGATCAGATTTAATTTTGGTGTTCCTGTGCATTTTTGTTTCTCTTTCTGTTGAGAACAGATAACTCATGTTATCACCTCCTATATTTTAGAAATATGATCAAATCCAATCTCTTTTAGAAAACCATAGCTATTGCACATCTAAAGAGACCAGGAGAGCTCATTCATGCAGTCTCGTACGCATGATTTTTCGTAAGTAGTGTCACACTTAAAAATGTACAAGTAAACAAAGCACTACTAAAACAACATATAAAAAGAGAACACAATTCGAATCATATTTAATAAAACAAAATTCAAATATATTACGACAATTCTTTTCAATGAATTTTGTTTTTTGAAAAGTATTCAAATAGCCTCATTAGAAATAATACTAAATACTAGTATTTTATATAAAGTATCTAATATACACTAAAAGTTCATATACTGTTCTTAACCAATTTTATTGGCTATAAAGGAGATGGAAGGATAAAAAAAAATTAGTACACCAACTAACCATGAACAAATAATTTAGTGTCACAAGAATGTAGAAAATAAGGCGCTTGACCAACTTAGCTACACATTTATTTGAAGATTTTTAAGCGTATTTTGTTTCTGTTTTTTAATTATTTATATATATTTAATAACATTTTCGGACCAAATGGTGTCACGTGACACCATTAGCTATATACCTTGTGTATTGAGGGTTTCCGGCAGAGATCCCTTCAAGTATTATTCTCCTCCTTTTGTATTCACTTTATGCATGGTATTCTTTTAGCTTCTATAGATTTGCTGCAATACTAATAATTGCATGTAATACTCCCAGGAACGGTCCTTGTTAACCTTATGTTAAAGATTTTTTGATCGATTTTACCTCCGTTATGTATAGGGTCAAAACCGAGCTTGTCCTTCGTATGAATGATCGAGACTGGAACATGATAGGCCAAGGTTCAACCTCGTGTTATATCGAGCCATGATGCGACCTTAGGATGTTGAGCTCGTGACCCAGAGATCGATCAAGATCGAGATCTGCCAAGATCGAGACCAAGCAAAATAGAGATCGAGCAAGACCGATGGAAGTTTACCTAGTCAAGTAACAGAAAGCTGAAATATCCCTTATCGAGCAAGGATCACGGCGAAAATCTCGGCACGTATCAAGATGAGGCTGGTTAATTAGCCAATCATGAGATTTCTTACTGTATTTAGAGTTGTATCAAGAGTAGGACTCCCCTACTATATAAAGGGAGTCTGATCATTTATAAAACACATTATGAGCCCGTTTGGCTTAACTGATTTAGAGTAGCTGATAAGTATTAGGTGCTGAAAAGCACTTTTAAGTGCTGAAATTGATTTAAAAAATAAGCAGTTACGTGTTTGGATAAAAGTGCTGAAATTAATAATATGCTGCTTAAGAACTAGGTATACGAAGAGTTTTGTTTTAAAAAGATGTATTTTAGGGATAGAATAGAAAATATTTTGGTCAAATTTAAAGTGCTTATAAGCTGAAATTTGATAAGTTGGGGGAGACCAACTTATGACTTTTGGCTTATTTTTGGCTTATAAGCACTTTTCATTTTACCAAACGCGTAGATAAGCCAAAAAGTGCTTATAAGCCAGTTTGACCAGCTTATAAGCTTAGCCAAACACCCTCTATATTTACGCAACACAGAGCAATACACTACCTTCTTTTAGCTTTCAGTGTTCTGTTACTCTGTTCATATATTAGTAGAATCTTCACTTAGTTCGAGGGTGACCTAACTCGAGGGCAAAAGCTATACGATTCGTTTAGTTTGCATTTATTTTTTTAATTACAGTCAATTTCAATATCAATTTATATATTTTCTCAGTTTGTGTCAAATTATATCACATATTCTTAAAACTACGTATAAATTCAATTGTTATCCTAGGGTAAACATTGTACATCTAGCTTTGCGATAATAACCCTGTTCTACTGACATATAGAAAATTGTAGGACGTTAGCGAATAAAGGAAGTACTAAATTAGTTTGGTTGCTTTAACTTTGGACTTCATGCGACATAATCAAATGTCACCTTAGTCGGCTTTCTTTAAACTCTATTGAGAATTTGGTGCACCTGGAGGATTAGATATTCTAAAGAGTACATATCTTTGCTTTGTTCGTACATGAAATAACCTTTTACGAATCAACTCTTTTTTTTACTCAATTTTTTTTGGCAGTTGTAACGAAAGTATCGTAGAAGCTCCTTTTTTTTGGACAGGTAACTTCTATTTGGAGTCCGGAACCTAAATAATGTGTGTTTGGATTCAAAACACACAAATAAGTGTATTAAAAAAAAATGACATTTCTATATATAGCGTGCAACAACAACACGCTATATATTAACGGTAACGTCTGCCGTTAAGTATAGCGTGTTGTTGTTAGATGCTATATGTGTCAGACGATTTGACTTCTCATATAGCGTGTTCAAATTAAACGTTATATATAGCGTTTTCAAATCATACGCTATATATAGCGTTTAATTTGAACTCATCTTCTTCCTCCACAGAACCCTCCCCCATTTTTTTACAAACCCTCCCTTCTCCTTCTGGTCCCCCCACCCCCAATCTGCTCGACAATCTAAAAAAAATAAAATTGTGGGCCCCTCCCGTCACACAAAAGGTCAGGAACGTAGGTCCTCCATCGTAGTAGAGCGTTCTGGACTCGTGGTTTATCTCCTTCGCCTTCAAATTTTCACGCAATACACACACAACATCGAGGTATTTCGATTTATTTTATATCCAAACTTGTATAATAATGTATATCACTGCCTATTGAATGTGTTTCC